TGTGTCTGTGTTCTTGATCCTTTCCGCATTGGGAATAGTTTCTCCAAGTGCACTCTGTTCAGATTTCTTGTGATTTTGAATCCCTCTATCAGGTCTCTTAGCCATATGCTCCAACAGAAACTTTTTAACTGTCCAGCCTACCTTCATAACCGAAGTTCCTAATCTTTGAAACTATTCTTGTAAATCTCTTCTGTGTGCTCTCCAATTCTTTCATCTCCTTCCTGATCGCTGAGGCCAGTGTCTTACATAAGTTCAAAAACAACCTGCAAAATGCTGTCGCACTCTAAGCCCTCATTAATAAAGCTCTGGACACTATCAGCTTTATTAACTGCTCTGCCAACCTGTCCTGCCACACTTAATGTGATAAACATATAAACCCAGGTCCCTTTGCTGCTGTGCCCGTTTTACACTTGTACCTTCTATTTTCCACTCTCCCTTTTTGAATCAAAATGAATCACCTCACATTTCACCGGATCAGAGCTCTGTCTGCCATCAATACATCCATTCCATTAACTTTTGAGGTTCTACAGGAGCCTCCACACAACTTGCAATGCTTTCGTGCAGTGGGCACAAAGATCATATTTATCAGGAAAAGCAAGGAGCACAACATTGATCCCTGGCACTACAAATCTTCTTCAAGCCTGAAGAATATTCATTCGCAAAATCTTTGTTTCCTGTTATTCGGGCAGTTCTGCATTCATGTTGTTGCTGTTCCTCTTATTCCATGAGTTATATCATTGCTCATAAGTATTTGAGCAGCACTGTACATACACCACATCCACGCTATGTTACTGGGATACTTTGCTGAGGAATTTCTTACCAAAATTGAAGTTGAGTTTTCGTTTTTTAAAATACATTTAACACCATTAATAAAATACATCCCCATTCTCCCACCTCTCGACCCTACCTCTATACTTTGCCAATTATCTCTAGCTTTTCACAATTCCATCCTGCCCAATAAAATCAAGTCTGGTCCACATTGCATTATCATGTGTTGTACATTAACACTCGTTCACATATCTCACATCAGGACTGGTAACTGTATACAAGCTACCCCTAATTACTAATACAAAAACAAATTGTTGGAGAAACTGAGCAGTTCTAGCAGCATCTGTGGAGAGAGAGCAGAATTCCCATTTAGAGTCCAGCCATCCTACTTCAGAACCTTTCTAATGGCTTTTATCATTTCACCACTCATTTATCTGATTCTGTGAAGGCTAAAGCTAAAATGCATATCTCAATCCTTTGTTTAACAATCTTAAATTCACATAGGATGTCTGTTGCCTTCGAGTTCATGCTAGATTTTCTTTGCGATCATGAGTTTGATCTTGTGTCATTTATGAATGCTGTCAATGACCTATAATCTTGCTACTACACGAATGCAGCTGTGCTTTTCCTTTCTTCCCTACTCAGCTTTTGGCTGTAGCTCAGGATTTTCCCCATTTCACACATTTTCTTTTGTGTGACAATGGCACCTCCGGACATTTCAACAACCTTGCAGCTTTTGCAGCCATTTCAATATCAACTTGTAAACAACTGATCTGCCAATCCATAATCCTTGTACATGCTTTATAGCCAGCATTTGGGGAGGCAATGGCCTAATGGTATTATCGCTGGGCTGTTAAACCAGAGACCCAGATAATGTTCTGTGGACCCAGGTTCAAATCTCACCATAGCAAATGGTGGAATTTGAATTCCATACATGTCTGGAATTAAGAATCTAATGATGACTGTGAACCCATTGTCGATTGTCAGGAGAAACCTGTCTGGTTCACTCATGCCCTTTGGGGAAGGAAACTGCCAGCCTTACCTGGTCTGGTGTGCATGTGACTCCAGACCCACAGCAATGTGGTTGACTCTTAACTGCCCTCTGGGCAATTGGGGGGATGGCCAATAAATGCTGCCTAGCCAGCAACGCCCTCATCCTATAAAGGAATAAAGACTGTTTTTAGAGTGATTTTACCTCCGGGGTTTCCATGTACATACATGTTATGTGCTCCTTCAAATCTTGAAGCTCTGTTGAAGAGTCACCTAGACTCGAAACATTAGCTTGCTCTCTCTCCATGGATGATGCCTGACCCATTGAGATCACCAGCATTTTTTATTTTCAGTACAGATTCCAGCATCTGCAGTAATTTGCTCCTTCAAATCTTGTCTGAGGTTTTTCATCGTCACAACATTGTCTTCACTTTATCAAAGAGAAACCACCACTGCTCACTATGTTATGGCTTTGTGTTTCCCTACACCAATATACAATTTCACATCTCAACTGGTAAACGGCCCACTAGTTTCTGATTATTTCAAGATCTATTACAAGATCGATGGACAGATTTATTATGGAGATTCAGCAACTATCATTATAGCAAAGTGTAGCCAGAATTTTTTCTAAGAGTGTATTGGGCACAACCCTGGTCCCTGTGATGAGATCATAAGCACCTGAGAGGTGAAAGCCAGGTCAGGGATGATGATCTGTTTCATTTTCAGCTTAGTTTGAAGGCAGCAAGACTTCATCAATGCAAAGGACCTTGGTTCTCCAAATGGAAGGCAAAGCTTGAGAAACATGGGGAAGGAGGGTCTGCACAGTGCAATTTGCCTGAGGGACAGCCACTCCCCCTGACCTCCCTAGGGATGGCTCCCTAATGCTACTTGCTGCAAACTAGACTATCAATCATTGGTAGTCATATTTTACATCCTAGTTACTTGCGCATTACTATTTTTCCTCTTAGCAATAACACACAGATGAGAATTGAAGTTTCTAGTTGCAAGTAAACTCCAAACATCAATGGAAAAGATCACAAAATAAATGCAAATCGAAATCATCCACCCTCCCAGTAACACTCCTATTCAATCTTCCCACGTATCCAGTCTTGTACCCATTCAATTCCCTCTCCCCTCCCCCAATTTGCTCAAACCTCTCTTCCCATTCAATCTACTCCTCTAATTCAAACCTTTCCCTCCCCAATTCCCTCTCAACTTAATCTTTCTCCCACCACAATCCTCTCCAAAGTCCTGTCTTCAACTCAATCCTCTCCAGCCAAAGTTCCTCTCTCTCAATTCCTTCCTCCATAATCCTCTCTCTCCAAAATCCCCAACCCTTCATTTCTCTTGCATCAAATCCTCCCCAACCATATTCACCTCCCTCAATCCTCTCCCCCAGATTTACTCTCTCAATCCCTTAGCTTCCAATCCTCTTCTCCCAAATTCCCGTCTTTGAAAATACTCCTTAAAGCCTACCTCTGGAAACATTTTCTGACACCACCTTCATTCTCCACTTTTCACTTAATACATTCTCAAATCCTCTTTCTTCCGAAGTGCCTTGGCATAGTTTCCAAGTTCACAGTTTACAGAAGTACAAGTTCCAAGTCTTTGAATGATGATTTTTAAAGGGATATTCAATTTGTTTAAAAAAGTCTTATTTTTATGGCACCTTTTGGTACACAAAATGTTACATGTTTGAATTTTACAGGTGATGGTCCATTTCCAGGGATCATTGATCTGTATGGGTCAGTTGATGGAATGGTTGAACATCGAGCTAGTCTCTTGGCAAACCATGGATTTCTGACACTGGCTTTAGGATATTTTGACTTTCGGATATTTTGGCTTTGATGACCTCCCAAAGGATTTTACAAATCTTGATCTGGAATATTTTGAAGTAGCTGTGAACTTCTTGAGAAGCTATCTGAAAGTGAGACTCGTTTTATCCATTTAGAAAATAGTTTTATAAAATAATTCGTGAAAGTGGAGAAGACGACTAGAGGTCTATAAGGATATCCTCTTCAGACACAATACAGCCTATATCCATCAGTTCCACCCATTCCAATGGCCCCTTCACAGTCAAACTTTCTAAGGATAGGCATAAATGAAAAAACCCTTCAGCCAAATTCTGGAATTTGGCTTCAAATCAATGAAGGCAAAGAAAGCTGTAGTGATTAATATGGCTGCAATTAATTTGGTGAAACTTTTACAGACATGTTCACGAAATGACCCAAAAACCAGCATGCAGAGGCTGTGAAACACAGAGACACATATGAAACATGGGGGAAAGTTTACCAAGATCAGTATAACTTTCATCAAGAAAGATTGAAGACAAGTTAGTTTGAATGTTGAAACCATTACCACAAGGACTAGTCGAGATGACTAACATTATCATGTTTAATCTGCAACTAGATAAAGGGATGAGGGACAAAGGAAGAAAGGGTTATAATGAAGGGTATTCTTTCTATAAACATGTCTTGTCTGTTAAATATTTGAAAAGTACTGAAAAGTGTCATCCAAATATGGTTTACTATACTTGGCAAAATTCTAAATCTTACGCTTTTTAAAATGATTTTAAGGTGCTCAAGACAGCTAAAGGAGGAGAGACTGAATTTAAGACTGCAGCATTGGAAGTTTCACGAAAGGAGAAATGATTGAGAGAGATTTGATAATACTTAAATAATGTAGATTTTGAAGGACAAGGATTGTGGATAATACCACCACCTGTCGAAGTCACTCATCATTCTGAGTTGGAAATGTATCGCACACCTTCAGCAAACTTCTTAGCAGAGTCTCCCACCTCGCCTCATATACCAATAATTATCCAACCTCTCTAAAGAGTCCAGATTTGTTTGCATTGATCAGCAGCAGAAAGGATCCCAGAGAACGAGGCAAGCTTTGAGTGTCAACACCACATTCTCCTTCCCATGCAGAAGTCAATCTGGATGCAGTGAAGTCATCCACAGCTCTTAGTATGTGGTTAGCTAAACAGTCTCAAGCCATCGACCCTGGAGGGTTGCAGACGTTTGATCTATTCTTTGGTTGTTGGACACTTCTTACAAAGTCAGTGTGGATTATGGGTTTGTACAATGGGAAAAAAAAATACTCTCAAACATAAGATGCAAGGGATCATGGACAGGGAGCATGTAGTCAAGTATTTTTAAAAACGGCATTTATTGGTGAAAGAAAGGGAGAGAAAATTCATCTGATATCCTTCAAACAATATATACTGGTACGGTGAATATTTTACATTGAATGCTGTTCAGCTGAGAGCAGGTTTGCTGTTTCTGCATTCTACAGTTCATGATTTTACATTTATTTATTTATTTATTTATGTTAAATTGATAAAAGGCCAAAGCCTTTTGCCAATCCCAGATATTTAGTTTCAAAACCTCAAGGACAAATTCTAAAATTCAGTTTATCCTGAGGCATTTGAATAATGACATTCTCACAGAAAATCTTGCATTTAATTCAAAAGTTGTTTTACTCCTCCATAACATTTTGCTCAGTCAAATGTCATTGCTATATTATAACTAGCAAGTAAAAATTACAGTCGAGTTTTGGAATTCAGGAAGTTAAAAAATTGCAGTTTTTGCAAAGCAAAACAATAGGTTACATATTTAAATGCTGAGTGAAATATAGCTATACAAGAAGAGGAAATCTGTTTTTCCAATCTATAAATTGGATTAAACTAAACCCAAAAAAATGCAATTTATTCACTAATTTTGTGAAGACTGAATAGGTTCACAATTTGCTCTGATGTTCGAGATGTTTTTGTAGAAATGACTGGATCTTTGGCCACAGGTCTATCTGTGCCAGTGCGTGTGGCTTCATTTTCCCTCCCCATACCACAGGCTGTCCCACCAACCGATGAAAAGAAGCATAGCAAAATGGAAAATATGAGGGCTCCAGGAGATGTCCAGCCTCAGGATAAGTAATAAGTTCATAATTCTCTTTGCCATTTTCTTTTAGTTTTTTCACAGCCTGCTCAGCGTAGACTGAAGTTGCCCAATTCTTGTCATCTTCTCCAACTACAAACAAAAAATGCCCCCTAGCCTCTTCTATTGGGATAACACAATCTTTGTTTTCTTCCTCCATTGGGTTATTTGTCACCTCAGAGATATCAATCAGCTTGGATTCTAAAAATTTGGTTCTTTCTAAAGTAACACCGAGACCAGGAAGAGTGACGTTTTTGTAGTGCAGGTTCCCCAATGTGTTAGCATTGCATCCACCAATACTAACTGCTGCTATCACATGTTGCAAAAATGTGGTCATTGATAGAACTAGATCTCCTCCTTTTGAAATTCCTATTGCTCCAACTCCTGGACCCTTAACCTGAAAAAGATGATGGCAAACAAATTAACATTTCAACTGCTGTACTATAAAAACCTTCACTAAACTAAGCAAAACCAAAACAAAGAACTGCAGATGCTGGAGATCTAAAACAAAAGCTGGCAACATCTGTGCAGAGAAAACAGAGTTAACGTTTCGAGTCCGGTGACTCTGAAGAAGGAGGCATAAACTCTGAATCAGCAGCAGGATGAAATATACAATAATGACAAAAGCAGCAAGTTAGTTTACATGATATTTACATCACATGCACAAGCCATTTACTCACAGGTCAATGCTGATATAGTTATACAGAACAGAAACATATCCTTCGGCCCAACTTGTCCAGGCCGACTAGATGTACTAAATTAATCTAGTCCTATTTGCCAGCATTTGACCCATACCCCACTAAACCCTTCCTATTCACGTACCCCTGCAGATGCCATTTAAATCTTGTAATTGTACCAGCCTCCACCACCTCCTCTGGCAACTCATTTCATACACGCACCACCCTCCGAGTGAAAATGCTGCCCCTTAGGTCCCTTTTAAATCTTTCCCCTCTCACTGTAAACCTATGCCCTCTAGTTTTCGACTCCCCTACCCTAGGAAAAAGACCTTGTCTATTCACCCTATACATGCTCCTCATGATTTTAGAAACCTCTATAAAGGTCACCCCTCAGCCTCCGAACAATCCAGGGAAAATAGCCCCAGCCTATTCAGCCTCTCCCTATAGCTCAAACCCTCCAACCCTGTTGTAACATCTTGTAAATCTTTTCTGAACCTTTTCAATACGATCGAGTCTTCTTACATTCTTCATCATACCCTGCTCTTTTTTCACCCCCATACATTTAATGAGCTTCCTTTTAAATGCAGCATTGCCAGTCACAGCAGCTTTATCCTGTGGTAGTGATTTCAACGTTCCAGCCACTCTCAAGGTAACGAATGTTTCTCCTAGTTCTGGTCTCCCTCACAAGTGGAAATACTTATGTACATTCACCCTATTTAGCCTTTTCATAACCTTAAAGACCTCTGTCAGACCACCTATCAGTCTCTTTCTCAAGAACGGTTTTCCATTCAGGTTAGATCATCTTTGTAAATCTTACTCATCCTTGTAAATCTTGTGTTACCTTCCCCAGTGCCTCAAGATTTCACAGAATGTACAGGGTCTTGAAATGCATGATTCTAGTGTGTATCATGAACATTCCTTCTAAAACAAGGTAGACTAGTTAGCAAGGTTAAATCACACGGATTAGTGGGAGAACTAGCTATTTCCATAGAGAACTGGCTCGAAGGTAGAAGACAGAGGGTGGTGGTGGAGGGTTGCCTTTCAGACTGGAGGTCTGTGACCAGCAGTGTGCCACATGGATCACTGCTGGGCCCACTGCTTTTTGTCATTTGTATAAATGATTTGGATGTGAACATAGAGGATATGGTTAATAATTTTGCAGATGACACCAAAATTGGAGGTGGAGTGGACAGGAAAGAATGTTACTCAGGGTACGATGGGATCTTGATCAGATCGGCTGATGGAGGGTTTGTCCTATAGGAAGAGACTAAATAGACTGGGGCTATTTTCCCTGGAGAGTCAGAGGCTGAGGGATGACGTTATAGAAGTTTATAAAATTGTGAGGGACATGGATAGGGTAAATAGACAAGGGTATTTTCCCAAGGGCAAGGGAATCCAAACATAGAGGGCATAGGTTTAAGGTGAGAGGGGAAAGATGTAAAAGGTACCCAAGAGGCAACTTTTTCACGCAGAGGGTGGTACGTGTATGGAATGAGCTGCCAGAGGAAGTGGTGGAGGCTGGTACAATTATAACATTTAAAAGGCATCAGGCTGGGTACATGAATAGGAAGGGTTGAGAGGGATATGGGCCAGATGCTGTCAAATGGGACTAGATTTATTTAGGATATCTGGTTAGCATGGAAGATTTGGACCGAAGGGTCTGTTTCTATGCTGTATATCTCTATGACACTATGAATCTTAGTGGGGTAAGATTTTCAACAACTTACAGAAACTACATGGTTAACTGCAGCCACTGCAACCTCCCTAGGTTTGTTTAATACCTTCATGATTTGAAGGGAAATCCTGGGAATTGCCTGAAGGAGTTGCCTTTTATGCTTACCTGTGAAGGGTTTGACTGTAGTGGCATGGGGCTGAGTTAGTTGATATAGGTTGCCTCATGTCTGCATTTTAGCCTTGTGGATCTGTTCGTCTTTACCTGTACCTTCGCATAAATTATTTCGTAAAACTATTTTCTAAATAGATTCAAAGCACGTTACCTTTGGATGTCTTCTCAAGAAGTTCACAGCTTCTTCAAAATATTCCAGATCGAGATTCATAAAATTCTTTGGAAGGTCTTCAAATCCAAAATACGCTAAAGCCAATGTAACAAATCCATGGTTTGCTAAGAGACTAGCTCGATACTCAATAATCCCACCAGTTGACCCATACAGATCAATAACCCCTGGAAATGGACCATCACCTGTAAAATTTAAACATACAAAATGATTCCGTGTCAAATAAGATTATCTGTAGACAAATTGATGATTCCTATAAAACTCATTATTCAAGGCCACTTCTGTTGCTTCAAGCGTATTTTTTTAAAAAAGCATTCTATTTTTAGGGGTGTCTGCCACGCAGCCTGGTATCTCCCCTTGCATTCCACATTGGTTGGGCCTCTGGTATGTTGGTAATGGTTGTGACAGTAATATTTCAGGCCATGAGGTCACAGATTGTGGCAGAATACAGTGGTGCTGCTACCTTTGGCCCACAGTCATGGAGGCCAGTTTTGAGTTGCTTGATCTAAGGTAATAACAGTACTAAAATTCCATCCTTGAATGAAAATGATTCCTGCATTGCAGCCACAAAGTCCAGAATGCTTAATCTTGGATCACCACAATATCAAATAAACAGCTACACACCAAGTTTACCAGAGCTAATAGGCATAAAGCCCTAAGTAGCAGCCCAATTACAATTTTTACTATCAATCTCCCCATCAGACCAGTAAAAAAAACACTTAAAAGCCTAAGTAACCTTCCAAGAATAAATTAACTATCCATCACCCAACCAACAAGCAACTGAAGGTTCATGGCTATTAATGAAGTCCAAATAGGGCGCTTGGCTGTCATGAGTTGAGCGTTAGTTGGAGCCACATTTCCTCAATACAGACTTGCAAGTAATACAGAACCTCAACCTACTGACAAGTTAGGGAAAATATGAAGAACAAAGCAACAACTTTCCATTTTGGAACTGCTCATCAGCATTCATTAAAGTAAGATAGCCATGTGATCTTGCTGCACAAAGCTGGATTTGCTTTTTGAATGAGATGCTTGAAAGATAAAACTAGACAACGTTGCCCACCTAGTTAATCCCTTGCGGACAAAATTACCAGAACCAGCTCAAAATGAACAATATTTCAAACAGAACGTTAGCATCAAATTACTGGACTTTCAACATATAAACCAGGCTCAGTCCATCTTCCTCTGTTCTAATCTGACTTGTTCCAGAGAATTCAGCACTGAAAAGCATTCTTCAATTACATGACTGCCTTATCAGCCTGCTCTGCTCTCAATTTCCATCAATGTGCTTTTCCAGGAATTGAAACCAGGACTTGGAACGCTCAACAATGCTACCAGATGTAGGGACAGCACAGTGACTAAGTGAATAGCACTGCTGCCTTACAGCACCAGGGACCTGGGTTCAATTCCAGCTTGGGCAACTGTCTGTGTGGAGTTTGCACATTCTCCCCTTGTCTGCGTGGGTTGCCTCCGGGTGTTCCGGTTTCCACCCAGAGTCCAAAGATGTGCAGGTTAGGTGGATTAACCATGGGAAATGCAGGATGACAGGGTAGGGGGGTTAAGTCTGAGTGGGACGCTTTTTGGAGAGTCAGTGTGGACTTGTCGGGCTGAATGGCCAGCTACCACACTGAAGGGATTCAATGAAAGAGCTCTTCATCTGTACTGGCCTGCTCATTCTGCGCGGCTTTAGTGATTTCCTCCTATTCAAACCCTTTCCTCCTGAAGACCCTCAATCTTAATCTGCATGATCTTTTATCTGTTCATTCTGGTTGACTTCCACATCAGTCCACTTCTCAGGTTAGTCCTTCACAACTTCACATTGAACACTTTCTTTGAAGTGGGTACTGCACCTTCTGTTTAACTGAAGTCTAATCTAAAAAGATATGTAAGTCAGATGAACTGGCCATGCTAAATTGCCCATTGTGTTCAGCGATGTGCAGTCTAGATGTATTAGCCATGAGAAATGCGGGGTTATAGGGATGGGTCTGGGTGGAATGATCTTCAGAAGGTGGTGCAGACTCAATGGGCCGAATGGCCTGCTTCTGCACTGTAGGAATTCTATGAACTTCAACAATGAACGGGTTTAATAGAAGCATTAATGCTGAACTTGACTAAATTACTGTCATATCTCAAGGGACCGAAGACAGTTTAATAGATAAACATTTGATGGAAAAATCCTTGATTTTTATTTTAAAAAATTACTTAACTGTGGTAGTCTTGTTTTCCAAGGCAATGCTATTAAACTGAACAAAGCCATTATGTTCAGAGGTGAAATATATGTTTTGACATCACTGAAGTTTTAAAGCACAAAAGGAGACAATTCAGTACATTATGCCTGCACCAACTTGTTAAATTGTCATCATTACCTCGTGCCGGACTCTTGTTTTTTCCCTCCATACCCTTGCGCATTCTTTTTATCCAAATAATTAAAACTTGGCCTCTTGAATGCCTCAGATAAGCCTGCCTCCACCACACTTCTCGAAAGTGCATTCCAGACACTAACTACTCACTGAATGAAAAAGTATTTCTTCATTTTACCTTTGCTTCTTTTGCAGATCACTCTAAATCTATGTCCTCTCGTTCCTTTCATGAGCAGCAACAGTTCCTCCCTATCTATTCTATCCAACTTGTTCATGATTTTGAAAACCTCTATCAAAACTACTCTTAGCCTTCTTCTCTCCAAGGAGAACGGTCACAACTTATTTCTACCCTCATAACTATCCTCACCCCAGAACCATTCTTGTAAACCACTTATACACCCTCCAATGCATTCACATCCATCCTATAATATGGCACCCAGAACTGCACATAATACTCAAGTTGAGATCTAACAAGTGTCACTATGCCCCGATTAATAAAGCTGAAGCTACTGTATTCTTTGCTTACTGCTCTTGCTACCTCTCTCGCATCCTCAGGGAGAAAAAGCTTTTCCTTACATCTCCTCTAACATTCTTCCCCTTACCTTAAATCAATGTTCCCTGGTATTTGAACCCTCCATCAAGGGGAAAAGCTTCTTCCTGTCTATCCTATCTATGTCCCTCAAGTTTATACATCTATAATCATGTTCCCTCTCAATCTCCTCTGCTCTAAAGGAAACAACCTCAGTCTGCCCAGTCTCCCTTCTTAACTGAAACTCTCCTGCCCAGGCTAGATGCTGGTAAATTTCCTCTGCACCCTCTCCAAAGCTATCGATCCCTCATATAATGTGGATTCCAGAACTGCAACAATGAAGTTGACCATTCAAGGGATATTGTATTACAAAATTAGTGTGCACAATTGTATGTTTTTATATATTTTCAGTCAACAGAATCCAGAGGTTGAGTGTATACATTACTTCCTGTCATTTTCATGTACGACAGAACCTGCTGTTGCTGATGGTTCAAAACACCTTATGAGTGTACGGCTTGCACAGCCAGATGTGTTGTAAATCGATTATCTTTAGCATGGTCCTGGGGCCAGACAACAAATAAAAACCATCCTCACTGTGGGCCAGTACTGCACATGGACCATGTCATGAACAGACAGTCAGAGTTGTACAGCACAAGAACAGAACCTTTGGTCCAACTCGTCCATGCTGACCAGATGTACTAAATTAATCCAGTTCCATTTGCCAGCATTTGGCCCATATTGCTCTAAAGACTTCCTGTCCACGTACCCATCCAGATGCCTTTTAAATCTTGTAATTGTACAAGCCTCAACCACCTCCTCTGGCAGTTCATTCCATACACACAACTCCCTCTATGTGAAAAAGTTGCCCTTTAGGTCCCTTTTAAATCTTTTGCCTCTCACCTTGAATCTACGTCCTCTAGTTTTGGACTCTACTATCTTGGGGAAAACACTTTGTCTATTTACGTTATTCACACCCTTCATGATTTTATAAGGCTCGAAGGTCACCCCTCAGCCTCTGAAGCTCCAGGGAAAATAGTCAAGCCTATTCAGCCTCTCCCTATAGCTCAAACCCTCCACCCCAGCTTGTAAATCTTTTCTGAATCCTTTCAAGTTTAACAACATCTGTCCTATAGCAGGGAAACCAGAATAGAATGGCTGAAAGAGGCCTAACCAATGTCCTGTGCAGCCACAACATGACCTCCCAACACCTATACTCAATCCACTGACCAATAAAGGCAAGCGTACAAAACGCCGCCTTCACTAACCCTGTCTACCTGTGACTCCACTTTCAATGAACTACGAACCTGCATTCCAACGTCTATTTGTTCAGCAACACTCCCCAGTAGCTTACCATTTGCCTTACCAAAATACAACACCTCACATTTTTCTAAATTAAACTCATTTTCCACTCCTCAGCCGATTTGCCCACCTGATCAAGGTCCCATTGCACTCTGAGGTAACCTTCTTCGCTGTCCACTACACCTCCAATTTTGGTGTCTTGTGCAAACTTACGAACCCTACCTCCTATATTCACATACAAATCATTTATATAAATGTCAAAAAAGCAGTGGACTCAGCACCAATCTTGCGGCACACTGCTGGTTACAGTCCTCCACTACAAAAAGCAACCCTCTACCATCACCCTCTGTCTCCTACCTTTTAGCCAATTCTGTGTCCAAATGGCTAGCGCTCCCTGTATTCCAAGTGATCCAAGCTTGCTAACCAGTCTACCATGTGGAACTTTGTTGAATGGTTTGCTGAAATCCACTTTGCCTTCAACAACATTTTTCATCACTTCGAGAAAAATCTCAATCCAGTTTGTGAGACACAATTTCCCATGTATGAAGCCACGTTGACTATCCTAATCAGTCCATGCCTTTCTAAACACATGTAAATCCTGTCCCTCCAACGACTTACTCACCATCAACATCAGGCTCACTGGTCTATAGTTCCCTGGCTTTTCCTTACCACCTTTTTTTAAATAATGGTGCCACATTAACCAACCTGCAGTCTTCCTGCACCTCACCTGTGGCTATCGATGATACAAGTATCTCAGCAAGAGGCCCAGAAATCACTGCCTGAGGTTCTCACAAAGTCCTGGGGTACACCTGATCAGGTCCAGGAGTTCACCCACCTTTATGCATTTCAAGAAGATGAATATACAACAGACAGATTAGTGGGAAAGGAAAAGTGAACTGATCACATTGGCAGAAGGGTTGAGAACCAGAAGATCTAGATTTAAGGTAATTTCAGCAAATAAGGCAAAGGTGGCATGACAAGAAATGAATCATTACATTTGTAAATCATAACAATTTATCTGAATGAATGGTGAAGGTAGTTTGAAACATGGATTTCAAAAAGGAATTAAGTAGCTGAAGAGTAAAAACACACAGAGTAAAAGAGCTGAATGCACTGAAAAGAACAAGCAGAAAATGCTGAACACACATCATATTGGGAGAGAAAATCAGAGTTGACGTGTCAACCTAATTATAATACCTCATCAAAATGGAGTAGGTAATGGGATGGAATGAGCTGACTTGCTTTTGCAGGGGACTGGCATAGCCTTGACTGGCCAAATGACCGATATCACTGTCGTTTGAACACAGGTTCAAGCACCTTACTGCTCACTAAGTCCAAAGTCGTGAATGTAAATACTGTTCTGTGTTAAACAATAATTTCAAGTCAGC